CGGGTTAGAATATTGATCTTCAGTAGCCCATGCTTGTCGTAAGAGGTGACTAACGGGATCGGGTGGTCAGGCTCGCTGACTTGATTGACACCACATGTCATCGGGACACATGTCATCACTGGATTGTCTGGTCCAGACTCGATTATTTACAGACCGCCGCCATATAGCTGGAATATTGCTGAGTGCGGCGTTAAACTAAACTCACTCACTCACTCCTTCAGGACGAGTTAGTGAGTGAGTTGAGATTTTACACCGCATCGGCATTACTTCAGTAATATACGTTTTGTGGTTCATCTGCACACTTTCCAAAGGTCATAGGCCCAGTATATTTTACTGACTTGTCGCAGCGAACCAGTTTGCTAAGTTGACTCAAGCTGTAGTGGATATACCTTGTACCTGTAGGACATCACGCAATGGCCACAAGAACAGATTTCGATATTACGCAACGCTGTCTTCGTGACGCTCAGCATTTATCAATCAACCCTTGTATATCAGGCATGCACAATACATTTTCTGTTTCGTAACAGATTACAACACATTAAACTGTTAATCTCTTCGTAGCTACATCAATACAGAGAGGTAACGTGAATCAGGTTGAATGTACTATGAGTGAGTGAGTTAATATTTAACGTCACATCGGCAATATCTCAGCCATATCGTGACGAGAACAATTTAATTTATATCAATATAAGAAACAATAAATTGAGAACATAAAAACCTGTGAATGTAAGTGCTACAATACCTACACCGTGCTACGTGGTGAAACCGTACATGGGTACACACAAAAACAAGGTCGCTGTCAGTATGATAAAAAACACAAGGTCCCTAAACACAAAATGAGGTTGTGACTAGTGGGATTTAACCACACGGAACTGTCAGCAGGTCAGCCCTAATTCAATCGCCCATAGACCGCCTCCGTGGTGTAGTGGTTAGAGCGTCCGCCCGGAGAGCGGAAGGTCGCGAGTTCGATCCCCAACCGCGTCAAACCAAAAGACGTTAAAATATGGTATTTGTTGGTCCCTACCTGGCGCTCGGCATTAATGGGTACAGCAAGGACTGGTCGGCTCGGAGTCAGTATAATGTGTCTGAGTGGGGTATTCATGCTTCACTGCGGCATGGTATCTCAGTGGGCTAGCACTATAAAACCAGCTTAAGTCTGGGCTAGTACAAGCAGCCGCACATACACATACACTCGCATGCACGTCGTCATATGAGCGAAATATTCTCAAGCACGACGTAAAACCCAATTTCACCTCACCTCACCTCACCTCACCTCAATCGCCCACACTGGACACCGTGGTAAATGAACTGGAAAATGAGTTTAATTGACACACAAGGAAGCTTTCGTGGATTTTACTAGCGCTTCCATATTTCACGTATTTTTCAATGGCGTTTATCCATTTTTCACTTAGACTCATGTTCCCATAATCTCGTAGTCAGTAATTATTCAATGAATTCAAACACAATTAGATATTTTACACGAGCTGTGTGTGATTCAATGAAGAATTCATGCATAAAAACATTCCTGTTTACCTTCTGTAGGCGATATACTAATTCGAAACAATGAATTGCAGGTCCCGGAATGGCAAAGGATATATATTCCTTTTGGACTTCCCTCAAGACCGCAGCCTCTTTTTACTCGCCCGACATATAGCTGGAATATTGCTGTTATTAAATACAACCATCTTTCTACTCGCCCAACGCTCTTTCGACTTCCACCCCATTTCCCCCCCCCACCCCCACCCACCCCAACCACTCGGTTCCACTCAACGCTACTACTGCTTTCTGCTCAACTGTCGTTCCACTCACGCCGCTTCATCAGCTCCTCTCAACGAAGTTGTTTCGCTCCGTTTCCCTCAACAGTCCCACTTCATTCAACTATGTAGTTCTCTTTTCATAGGCGTCGTTTGATTCCGTTCCTACACCACTGTTCAGCTCCTTTCACAAATGCACCGCTGAACCCCATCGCTGGATTCCAACCAAATTTTTCCAGCGCTTAAATCTCTTTACTTCTCTGTCGCTCTAACCTTCCATTTCACCCAGTTAATCACTACTGTCCACTCCACACCTTTCCTTAATTCCACTGTCCACTGTCTCCGCACCAATATCTCCAGTCCACCACGTCCCACCCGCTCAGTTTAATTCTAATTCTCTCGTCCGCAATACCGCTCCAGTGAGCTCCTGACACGTGAAGATCCGAGTTAGAATTGGTCTTCAGCTGGGATCCACTGATCTGCATTGAAAGGTACGACTCCAACAAACCCAATGGGACCTCTAACTTCTGTTCGTTTTAGTCCCGTGAAGATCCCTGATTAGAATTGATCTTCAGCAGCCCATCTTTATCGTAAGAGGCGACTAACGAGATCGTGTATTCAGGCTCACCGACTTGACTGACACATGTCATCGTATCCCAACTGCGTAGATCGATGCTCATGTTGTTAATCATTGGATTGCCTGGTCCAGACTCGATTATGTACCGACGTCCGCAGATAGCTGGTATATTGCTGAGTGCGGCGTTAAACAACAAACACACCAGTCAGCTCCTCCCCAAATGTACTCAATTCTACCTCTCTGCAGGCCTGCCGCTCAATGTAGCTCCATTACACGGGTAATTAAAGAAACACAGTTCGCATCCAGTGTCCGTCATTACCAACGAACAATCATCGAAAACATTGGTTAGGGTCATTTTTCAGATTTTCCTATCCAGGTTGTTATTGCTGATATGTATAACATGATGCAACTTGCTACTTTAAAGTGATGACTAATATATCATGGACATAAACTTCCTGGAGTCTGTCCAGTATAAGAATTAAACATCAGGCCCTAACAACTTCTAAGATATGTTCCATTGTCAAGTGTTGCAAAGACTAAAACAGTAGTTCCAAAATCGTTTAATATCGATTATGAGAAAATGTGATCGATTGTTTGGTCACTGCGACCAATCTTCGATTATTTCAATTAATCGGAACACCACTAGTGCCTTCACACAAAATTAGGCTGAGGGTGGCCAGAACAAGGGGACGGAAAGCCTACGATCTCCACTATGACGACATGATACAGTCACCCAGGTCAGGTCAAGACCAACCGATCCCCAGTCGCCCCTCCCTAATCACGCCACCTATTCATTCCTGCATATATTAAAAATTCATGAGTTGTAACTTCTCGAACAGACCCCCAGAGCTTACATGTATACATACGCAAATAAATATTCATCACCATCCCCGCCCACACCATTCCTCTCTCTTCAGTTTCGCAGCTCCAGCATTAGACTAAGGCTTAGTCTCTGAATATATATAATTTTGATAGTAACAAACAAGCCCATTTATATTGAAAAGGAGCCCTAGGGAGACCAGAGATTCAGAACCTGAGGAAATCTAGACTTGCTTTATTTAGGGCTTTAGCACTGCAGAGGGGGCTTGGCAGTAAGGAAATTAGTGTGGTTCAGGGACTGTGAGACAGACTACTCCAGCATCCGTGTATGGGATCAAGGTCTGACATCAGACATATGAAGGGTACTTATTACGCGCTCGTATGTTCCTTTATATGTACACACACAAACACTATAACACCTTCTACAAAACACAGTGTTTCAGTGACTCTATGTTATGAGCTTATGTATATATTGTATGTATACTATTCACGCTTTGCTAAGGATCAAATCATTGATTCAACAGAAAACTATGATGTGGGGTCAAATTTGGTTTAAATATCTAAGCCCATTGTAAGCATGGATCCAAGTTTACAGTATATCACTGCATCGTGTGGATCCCCTACCTGCTATTGACAGGTGTTGTTTATTTGTCAATGACCCGTGCCATGATTAGCAAAATGGTTGGTTGGTGCCATGGTGCATACGGTTAGCTTAAAGTGGCTGTTTTCCTAAAGATGTGTTACCTACCATATCATTATTTATCCAGTTTTAAATGGATACGATACAAATTATAAATCTACGTTTAAGTAAGGGTGCGAATTTTTGTGATCCTTAGCAAAGTGTGAGTAGTATATTTTACCTTATACAAAAATTAACATTTCTTCAGGGACTATGTGGTATGGGCTGACTGGGGTTTGGTAATGGGGGTCGTTCCAGGGATTAGTGTAAAGGCGAACCGCACGCTAATCCTTGACAAGTCCTGCTGTATTCATAGGCGGATCCAGGGTGTGCACCCCATCCCCCTTTTGTCCTGAAAGTTAATTAATTGACCATTGGAACTCTCGTGAAAACGTGTGAAAATGAAGTGTGCGCGCGCGTGCGTGGAACCTATGAAATGAAATAAACCTCAATTAAACCCATACCTCCTTCTTAATTCAACACACACACACACACACACACACACACACACACACACACACACACACACACACATACATACATACATACCGCCTCCTTAATTCAACACACACACACTTTCTCAAAAAGCTGTATCCGCACCGGGTACCCATACCTGCCCAACCACACCACTTTCCCTTAAAAACTCCTCGATCCACCTTTTGGTGACAAATGTAACGTTTCTGAAATATATGTCATTTGCAAATTATCTTAATGGTGGAGTAGCACAGTGGATAGTGGGTTCATTCTGTAAACTACCCGTGTTCGACTCTCAAGATGTGCAGATGTTCATTATATATTTGCAGTTTAATAAAATCTGGATTTTGGTGGTGATCATTATTCGTGTAAAATGTTAAGCAATCTTACCAAACCACACACAGCGTAGTTGTAGAGGATGAAGTGGTGTCGCTGCAGGAGAAAGTCGTTGTGACGACGTATGACCGAGCTTGTGTATACCTTCTACATACCATATATCAATATAGAATTTAAGTAAGACAAAGTCTTAATTTGATAAGCCTTTTATTACTTAAGTAGCTGTAGCAAGCCAAACCCACGATATACAACTGAGCCTCGTGCTTCTCAATATTTCTTACCCACAGCAAACCGAAACCGTCGCCGCTGATAAAACCAGTTTCACAAAACCGGTTCACGTTTTATAGCCCCTGTTCCACCGCCCTGGGGAAGGAATAGAATCAGCTTGAGCGAGTTGTCAGTAGCCTTTGTTTTGGTGAGTTTCCGATTGGCTTGTTTTCATTTGTGGAGATTTTATCAGTTGTTTAGCTGGCCTGGAGGCTTCAGAAGACAGCGAATACCACAGAAATAGCTCGATCCGGTCGCAGTTGGGCTTGTTATGCTGAAGGATCGGCTTCGCCCTAATCAAGCGCAGAAAACGACGGACCGTCGGCCTCTTGACCACGGGGATATTACACCTGTGTTTTGCACCTGGTAAAATGCGGCGTGACAGACAAATGTGTCAGTGAGTGGTTGGCGGAGGATAGAAGACGATATCTAAATCCAGGGCAAGTTTTGTAAATGACCTGGATTATTACTGACCCTAACCGAACTACGAAATAAAACAACGCAAGCATAGAAGGGGGAAACCGAGTCACCAGGGATAACAGCGATCAGATATTTCTTTCAAAATGGAAGGGCTACGGTGCAGATGGCTTGTGAGAACTACAATCGCCATATCGCTGGTACTCGGGGACGTCACGGGGACCTACTCCACCATGAGTACTGCATTCTACGCCGATAATGACTTACAACAGACGGTGCTTGTTACAAGACTACCCGGCAGAGAAAAACGTGAAATGCAACAAGAAATTTTAACTCTCCTCGGCCTCCACCAGAAACCCAAGCCCAAGACCCACGGCAAAGGGGATTCAGCGCCTAAATTTATGATGGATCTGTATGAAAAGCTTAAAAACGAAGATGGGGAAATGACGGATGATGATACGGTGTTTCGGAGCAGTCCGAGAAACGCTTCTGTCGGATTAAACCCGGATTTATTGGATGGTTCCGACGTCATAATGAGTTTTGTCAATCACGGTAAGTGTACTATCTATAATCGAGGCTCTCTGTCAATATTTACCTGTGTGCTACTTCTATTCTTTGCATGTTGGTTTAACGATGTTATTTAATTTACTTTATATTATCTGTGGATGTTGAATTTGTGTACTACTTAATTTTGCATGTTGTGTAATGGCAATACATACGGTCTGGTTGTAGAAAAAGATGGAATGATTTTTATACTCATTATACACTATTATTAATATGGTTATACTAATTAGGTTTCTTATCAATTTGTTTTCTAATATATTACATGGACATGGACTTGCGGTATATTGTGTATATGCTGTCATCTTTCTGTTAAACGTGTCTTCCTCATTTATCGACAGAAACTATGTCTATTTTTTACCAGCTTTTATCAGCTCTGTGATTTCTTGGTTTTTCAATCAAGGAGAGCAGTTAATGGATGGGATGTTATTTTCAGAACGCTTGGAAAATACAAGTTAATATTTAATTACTGTTCGTATGACATGGCATCTTTTTCCCCACTTTAGGGATAAATCGCTTCTAAAGGCATATGAATGTCTTTTCGTTGAACACTGATAAGAATGGTAGAAGTCTGGATTTTGAAATCAATAATACAGTGACTTTCTTGAAAATAGTGTGTTTTAATGTGCATCACAAATAATTGCTTTGTGTACATCCAGAAAAGATGTCGAAGTACTGTTGTTTGAGGAAATAATTGCTCGCTAACATATCGAACGTGAATCCAATGCGATTGTTTCTTTCCTTTATAAATGTTATCATTTTACTTGCATATATAATTATATACGCTTTTGAGAAAGCGATATAAATCTATTATATACACAAATATTACTTTCATGGGAGATATATTGAATGTATAATCCTTTGAAGGACTGCTGGATTCTTCCAAACCATACGGGTCTGAATTTGACAGCCACTTGTCCATGTGTTTCGAATAAGTATTTCGTTTTGAGTGTTGCATTTTGTTGCCATCTGTTATAAACTGTGACGTCGAAGATCATGTATTATTTCTCAACAATAACATCCTGAATATTCTGATAAAGAACTGATGCATCTACTCTTCCCAGGAACAGACAGACTTGGGGAAACGTTTGTGCTGCCTTCGATTTGTCCACTATCACAAACTGGGTCCACTATCCATTATCAAATATGCTTAGTTCATCTACTAACAGGGTAGTCTTGCCACCATGTTGGTAGATGAAGTCCTGTTTATTGATAAATGTCTGGTGAAGTTGGCATCCAAGTAATTAGCTACGATGACCTAAGGTTAGATTGAAATTGATGTTACCATGGAACTTATACATGTCATAGTAAACTTACCAACAAAAAACAAAACTGTCGTCTGCTAGCTGTCAAATATTTACCTCACGTTGAATGAAAGTCACAATTCACCTGCTGATTCAGCTAATGAATGCAGCACTTAAAAATTATTAGAGATTTAACCAAAAATATCCGATTCGTGTTTCAGAACAAAACGACATTGTCTTTGGCGGCTTTAATAATATGCACCAATGTGTCTTTACTGGTTACTGTTACTCTGGTTAACAGACTCTGACCTATATTTGAAATAAGCAACGCTATCCCACCCCGCACGCACATAGTTTACATACCCCTTCTCATGTCCCCAAATAGCTGTCTATGTTCATCCTCTTTTCTGCTGTAAGAGACTTAAGGGTTCGTTAATAGAATTATTTTCAACGAACCATTAATTATATTCAGTTGACTATGTACTAGTGTATGTGTTTTGTTGACCCGCGTGTTATCGTGTACACTGCTACCGTATGTTAACACAGCGCGACACACTGGCGTACCCAGTTTGAAAACCCCTTGACTCATCAAGTCCCAGGGCGTGAGATTATAATGACGGTTTTACCACCTTTTGAAGGATGTCTGATACCAATGACAGTGTGAGTTATGGACAGTAAAAGTGGCTTAAGTTGTCAGCTTGCAGCTCCTTAATCAGCGTCTGTACCAGTCAATGTACACTCGACTACACCCTGAAGGGAAGTCTCCCCGACTTCATTAAACACACGTGGTTTAAATTGTCCCCAAACTCAAGCCGGGCTTGTAGCCTTTTCATCGCCTACAAACCTTTATGTGGCTACAACGTTGCGTGTTTGTACGGTAAACTGTAGGTTAAACATGGCTTGTTCTCCGTCGCTGAGAGGCGGGTCACAGCTCAATGGGAACACTACCTTTCTGATCTTAGCCACTTCATGCTCTATTGAGTTTCAAGAACGCATTGAATGTAAATATTATTTAAACCACCTCTGGAAGTGCATTAGACGCCAGGGGGCGTTTTAGACAGGGTTTTTATGGGCCGTCGCGGAAAGGAAACTTTTGAAATGTCCGTTATGAATATTCATAAGGGTGCATGCGTATTTCCCCTGACCCCAGTAGAGTTTCCTAATGAGGTAAGACGAGATTTGCTGGGGGTCGGGATCAGCAGGCTTACCGTGTTGGTAATGGAGTACGGATACTGGAGTACTTCTTCACTTGAGGTGATAAAGAAAATCTGCTAGCTCTTCATATATAATATATTTTCGGTCTCACTGGGTCTATAAGAATATTTAATTCGTGTGCAGCCGGTAATACGCGAGTTATGATCCATATGGTGTTGTGTATGTGCTCACTCGACTGTGGCCAATGTGCTGTTTCACCCCACTGAACTGACATTTTACTGTTATGCTACGAAAATGCAGCTTTGAGTCAACGATTTCCTCACGACTTGCGGTCTCGTCGACAGTACGCTAACAACCAGTCTCTGAAATGAACATATTTTACTGAAAAAAAGTTCATAGTAAATATATATATATATATATATATATAATGAAAAAGAGCCCTGAGGCTTTCTTCAACTGTGGAAATCTAGACATGCCACATTTTCTAGACTCGCGTGGGCTTTCTTAGATATATTTGCTTCAGGGTCTGTATGAGAGACTACGTCGACAGCGTCTTCCAGAGAGTCGGTAGTTCGTACCAAACGATGGTACTTGTAACTCTGCCTGGCACTCATCACAACGGGGGGAACCTCAAGGACTGTTTGCCTGGGAGTCGGTATACTAATCTAAGTGAGGTATCGATATTACACTACGCTATAGTATCCAAGGGCTAGCACTATAAACCCGTCACAATCCCGGACTGGTTCAAGCAGCCAGACCCATACGCGCATATACAGCGTTGTGAACAAGGCGACGTTAAACCCTATGTCAGTGTTCTTGTGCTAAGAGGCGACCAAATGGAGCGGGTTGTCAGGCACGTTGACGAGGATGATGGCATGTCATGTACCCCCAACTTTGTGCTCACGATATCAGTCACTGGAATGTCTGGTCTGGTCTGAATCATTTACACGTCGTCTTCTCATAGCTAGGACATTCATTGCACGTGCGGCAAACAATCATTCACAGGTTACACTGATATAAAAGTTTTACACAGAAGCGTAAAATATTTTCACTCCTGCTTGAAATTATGTACATTTTAAGCGAAGTCTATTTCTTGCAATTCATGTAGTTTCATTTATCATTCCATCATATGATTGATTGCATGTTGTTTTTCACCGCTATCTGAATGTCCAGCCTTATCACTGGGCAACAGTCAGTCAATGTAGATCCAAACAGTGACTAACATCATGAGGAACGGCCCACATTCCTGAGATGGCAGTCGCCTACGTGAAAGGTTCACACACACACACACACACACACACACACACACACACACACACACACACACACACCTCCATTAGTCAAATGGGTGATTGGTTAAAGCGTTCGCTCGTCCGGACGAAGACCTGGGTTCCACTCCCCACGTGTACAATGTCTGAAGCCCATTTCGTGTGCCCTGTGCCATGATACTTACAGCGGCGTAAAACCATACTCACTCACTAATACTTATTTACCTGTTCAAGGCTGTATTTATATTAGGGGTGGGTATTGCAGAGAATTTTCATATTGCGATATATTGCGATGCAAAAGCATGTATTGCGATATGTATTGCAATATATTGCGTGAAGTAAACACTACTTATAATCGAGGTAATGCTTGATTTATAGAGCAAATACACAGCAAAATCACTATGCTTGATAAAGCTTTAATAACAACTTTTATTCATGATTAAAAATAAAAATGTGAATAATATTTGGCACAAATGAATAAAGGAAATATCCGAAGATTTCCGAGTGTTACGAAATTTTCCGAATGCAAGTCAAAATACCGGTTTTCGATCAGCGTATCGCAATACGTATCGTTACGGTTATATTGTGCAGCCCTAATTTATATCCCGGTGTGATAAAGCCAAGCTATCACTAAATTCGGCGTTGAACAACGATTACTTTCACATACACAGTAAAGATATTTCAAGTTTACTCATGACCTTCGCAGCCTAACCTGTCTTTAACGTCAGGGATAAAACGACCAAACGTTTTCTAATTTTAGGAACCTTTGAAGCAACATTAAGCTCAATGTTTGCAGTTATTTTGTCCAGGTAGATCAGGTGAGAACACGAAAGTATTGAGACGAACGCACACAGCACTTTAAAGGATTACAGGAATTCATCCACATTTCCGCCAATGAAACTGAAATCCCGTGCTTGTGTTTGCCATACCAATGGCTTCTACGTCCCCGGCCAACTGTAAACAAGAACATTGCATAATCCCCGGAAAGGAATTCCATGTGCACTAAGCCCAATTCTAAATCGTTTGACATCTTACATCAAACAAGCAAGTCTGCAGTTGGTAAATAAAAGTCCTGAATGAAAGGAATTTAGCCGAGTGTTTTAGCACAGACCCAGCAATAGTTTCGGGTTTAAACATGCGGTTTGGTTTTTGTGTTGGTTTGATAATTTGAGATTCACTTAACGGTACTTCGTCAGCGTGTACCGAACCTGGAGTTGGATGTAAAGATGAACTAGGGATAAGATAGGACTGATGAACATGTTGATGGATATGTGATGTTGAATAGATGCTTGTGATTGGGCTCGCTTTAATGAGACGATCATGG